ATTGATAGACCAGGGATCCGAGATTTCCTTAATATCGGAACGACTTGTTCAAGGTTTACGATTATCCAGGACACAATCGTCCATTCCTTTGGTCGGAGTAGGGGCGCAGAAGTCGAATAGAACTCGAGGGGTGGCTTCTTTCAAGTTGAAGCCTCATTTCGATGACGAGTTCGAGTGCTCCATCTCGGCTCATATCTTGCCTAAACTTACGACTTCGCTACCTTCTGTTCGATCGGACAGCTCGTCGTGGATCCATTTGAAAGGGCTATTATACGCCGATCCTGATTTCTCGGCTCCAGGATCCATCGACATAATATTGGGAGCAGACGTGTACGGGATTATAATCAAAGACGGAATTAAGAAAGGGGATGCGAATTCTCCACTCGCACAACGAACCAAATTAGGTTGGATCGTTTCTGGTCCGTCAAAACCAACTTCGTCTTCTCAACCTTTTCGTAGTTTCCATATCTCAACGGACAGAGCGCTTCACGATTTAATCCATAAATTTTGGGAGACTGAGGAGATCCCATCTGCCAATAATTCGTCGCTTGCCGCAGACGAGCAGGAATGCGAACTGCACTTTCAATCCACTCACAGTCGTACGCCGGAAGGCCGTTATCAGGTACGGCTACCGTTCAGAAAATCGGCCAACGATTTAGGAGATTCGCGAGCAAAGGCTTTTCGGATGATGACGAATCTTTCAAAACGGTTAGGCTCTGATCCAACGTATGCAAGGGCTTACCGCGATTTCATGGAGGAGTATGAGAGGAAGCACCATATGACACTCGTCCCGGACTCGGTGCCTGAGCCGCATCCATGTTATTATTTGCCGCATCATGGTGTCTTACGCGATAATAATCTCAATAAGATTCGAGTGGTTTTTAATGGCTCGAGTCGTACAACCGCTGGTTGTTCTTTAAATGAGCAATTGCATACGGGAGCGAAACTGCAGACGGATCTGTTCGATGTTCTCCTTTGGTTTCGCCAATTCCGGGTCGTTTTTTCGTCGGACATCGAGAAGATGTTCCGACAGATAGCTGTACATCCCGACGACTGGGATTTTCAACGCATACTTTGGACCGATCAGTCGAATTACATTCGACCTTTTCAATTAACGACCGTTACATATGGATTAGTTTGTGCGCCGTTCTTGGCTCTCCGTTCACTGACACAGCTCGTCCTGGACGAAGGCGATAAGTATCCTCGTGCCGTTCCGGTTCTTGAAAGGGGACGTTACGTAGATGATCTCTTTGGAGGAGCTGATTCGATACAAGAGGCTCAAGAGATTGTACAACAGGTAACCCGTCTCTGCATGGCGGGCGGTTTCCCTTTGCATAAATGGATTACCAATCAACCGGAGGTACTTTCTACCATTCCTGCTGAGAAACGAGTAAGCTCATCTGCGATGAGCTTCGAAGAGTACCAAGCCGTGCACACTCTTGGCCTTAACTGGCATCCGGCGACGGATACGTTTAACTTTACGTTGAGTCTAGCTCCCTCCAAGTCTTGACGAAGCGCGTTGTATTGTCGAATATTGCAAGGTTGTTCGATCCCCTCGGTTTTCTGTCTCCGGTTGTAATCACTGCGAAAATTCTTATTCAAGAATTGTGGTCCATCAAAATTGAGTGGGACGACCCACTGCCTTCCTCGATTTCTCTCAAATGGAATCGGTTTATTAATCAACTGCAAATGAAACATGATCTTGCATTCCCTCGATGGGTCGGTGTTAAACATGGAGATTCCGTTGAGATCCATGGGTTCTGCGATGCTTCCCAGCATGCGATGGCTGCGGTAGTTTACATTCGGACTTGTACGTCTAGCGGAGACGTATCTGCGAATTTGCTATGTGCGAAATCCAAGGTCGCTCCTCTAAAAAGGCTCACTATCCCTCGTCTCGAACTTTCCGGTGCGATGCTATTGACGAAGCTTGTCTCACGAGTTCAGCGGGTGATTCAAGGCCATAATTTGCCCGTATATCTCTGGACTGACTCCTCGGTGTCCCTCACCTGGATCAACGCTCATCCTTCAAGGTGGAAGGAGTTTGTGCATAACAGGGTATGTTTCATACAGGAAACACTTCCTCAGGCGATCTGGAAATTCGTTCCCGGCAAACAAAATCCCGCGGATTATGCCACAAGAGGGATGACCCCTACTCAATTAGCCGATCTTTCGGATTGGTGGTTTGGCCCGTCGTGGCTCGCACAGCCTTGCACGTCGTGGCCATCGGAGTTACCAACTCAATCCATCAAGGAGAATCTCGAGGAGCGGTCTACGACCGTGGCCACTGTTTCAAGGGCCAACTCTTGCATTGAGTGGGACTTAGTCCATAGATATTCGAGTTTGGTACGTCTGCTGCGCGTCACTGCTACGTGCCAAAGGGCAATC